CATATAGGTGTCCATTTCTGATTCCAAACTTTAACTATGTACAACATAAAGCAAAACAACTGGGAGGAATGCTCATATCCAAGTTACAGCAATATACAGTATCTTATGTAAAGTCCTGCCCCAGGGGCCTAATGAATTTGATCCACCTAAACCATGTACTGTCAAATATGTCTTGACGTAGTCTGAGACAGTATGTCAGTTTCTCCATCTTATTTATTTGATGGACAATCTATCCAGTCCTCAGTCGAGGGAGCTTGGTGCTTCAGCCACTTGCGGGTTATCGCTTTTTTAAAAATCTGCAGCCAACAGAATTACCATAAATGATCTATCCAGGGAGCACAGCTTTTGTGGGATATGTCCTAGATATAAAACATCACATCTATAAGGGATATCAGTTCCGAATAACTCCTCTAAAGGATATTCGTCCAATAGGTGGAAAGTATAGGGCAGGACTAAAATATATGATAGTGGTCAGCATTGTTGATCTGACATTGTCCCCAACTGTCTCCAGTTATCCAGAATTGAACCAAACTCTTCCATCTGAATACTCTCCAAACAAGGGAACTTGTAGTTTTCCACTGTATTTTGCAAATTGTATGCCACTCCTCTCCGGATAGAGCTCTGCCACTTTCTGTATCCCATGTTCCTTAATATATTGCATGGTCACTTTATAGTTTTAATTTTCAGCTGAAAGAAAGTTGTTGTTTCTGTAATGCAGCGTTGGGATAAAAATTGAGTCTTACATTTCATTGTTTTCTTCTTCTGCTGATAGGACCGAGTGTGTGGAAAAGAAAGATGGTCCTGAAGTCTTCTTCTGCTGTTGTGACGGCATTTTGTGTAACGACAAGTTCTTCTATAGCCCCAACATCAGCTGGCCACCCAGTAAGACACACCTGTTAGCTCTTAGCTCATAGCTGTAGACTGTTAGCTGTTTGTGTGTTTGGAATAAGAGTTACTGTTATATACATGTTTTATAAAAGACTCTAAACTTTATTCTTGTGCAGTTGACCTGTATATTTGACTGAATTTCTTAGATTGATGCTGCGGTTTGTGATGTACCTTTAAAATTAAATTTGTTGTTGTGTGTTTCCGTAGCGACGAACAAACCAGTGACGTCTCCACCTCCATTGCTGTCCACACTCATGTACTCACTGGTTCCAATCATGGCCGTCACCGCCATTGTCCTCTTTTCCTTTTGGATGTACCGGCACCACAAGCTGGCCTACCCACCTGTACTAGTGCCCACACAGGTGAGACACACGCACGCACGCAACACAAACACACGCAACACACACACACTCAGTACAGGTGATGTCCAGTCCCTGGTCGCTTTGAATACTGTCACCTCTTTCTGTCTCTCTCTCTCTCTCTCTTTCTCTGTTTGACTGTGTAAACTGTTTGTCTCTCGACCTCCCAGCACGCCTTTCACATAATGATAGAGGTAAGAGGATCAAACTTTGCTTCCTTCCAGCTCCATCACAGCTTTTATTTTATCATGAGATTCATTTTGCATCTTGAGCTTCCACCTGCAACATGACATGATTTTTATTTTGAAAACACACTCGCCTGTGATTGTCTGCCACTGGTGTTTTTTTAACGCTCTTTGTTAGGGTTGGTAGATGTCAAACCTAATTGGCATGGGAATGTATGCAGTAAAACATTGTGATGGACAATTCCATTGGGTGGGGCATTGTGAGTGTTAGGGTTAGTAACAACAATATGGCGATTAGAAGGCTTTTTGTTTCAGATAGGAATAGAAGAGAACAGGAGAGTTCACTGACTTCCTGCTGTAAAGTTTTAATTGTCAGTTTTGCAATACAAATAGACTCGCCCCATGAGAGACAGGTGCAAACCAGCAGGATTCAAAAATCTGGTGCATGGGGCTGTTAAAGGCTAACAATTACAATGAATCGATCCTTCATTTTTGGACTCTCATGGCCTGGCTGAGGTTGCGCTGTGGAACGGCAGTTGGCTCAACATCATGGTGCCCGTCAGCCCAACCCTACTCAGTGGTGTTGATGTTGGTGTCGTCCCTGTGTCCTGATACCGTCAATCACTGTGTTGTTCTTCTTTCAGGACTCTGGACCCCTCCCCCCATCCCCCATCGTTGGTCACAAGCCCCTGCAGTTACTGGAGATCAAATCCAGGGGGAGTTTTGGCTGCGTGTGGAAGGCTCAGCTGCTCAGTGAATATGTGGCTGTCAAAATCTTCCAAATACAGGTCAGTACTATGTTACTGTCTCTTGACTCTGTGGTTTCTTTTATCACTTTGTATGCAGACGACACTAAACTGTACGTGTCATTGTCACCAGACGACCTCACGGCCTAGATTTGACCCTCAGCTCATCTCTGTGAAATGGTCACATGATGACGTCACCTTCATCTAAACCTTAACTCTTTTACATCTTCATGATGTCATAGGCAGAGTCTTGTCATCAGGTCTCACCTCAGCTGAGGTGAGATCATGTTTGACAAGCAGCTTATCTTCTCGGACCATGATGCATCTGTCTCCAGGTGGAGACCTGACTCACAGCCTCTCTCAATCTGCGTACTTATCTGTACTTATAAAACGTCATCAATTGCAGCCCAAGTACTGTTCCAATTCAAAATTCTGCATATAGTCAAATGCCCGGATGTTGACTTGCTCCACTCACTGCACTGGGGGTGCATCGGTGGCGACTTGTGTGGACTTCGGCAGCTATGTAACCCAGAATGCATTTCGGTTCAAGCAGCACAGCAGCAATGGTGGAGGAGAAAACACACAACTGTAAGTTATAATTTTGGAAATACTACTGCTATTTTACAAATTGTAGTTTTAAAATATTTTTAGGCAAAAATATTCTTGTCTACAAATGTACGGTCTATTAATGAAGACAGGCTCTCAATTTTGCTCGAACATTTTCATTAGCTTAACTCTCATTCAATTTACAACAACAGAAAACAAACGCAGCTAGCTCACAGGCTACATGCTCCTAGCACTGTTGACGCCTTTAGCTGTGAATAAAGCTGCCATATTAGACAGTGTTAAAGCCCAGTTCATTCTCACTGACCCCCAGGCGAGCTTACCTGCTCTTCTTGCACTGTGAGCTGCGTTGTTTTGAACATGCTCACTTGCTTTTCTCAGCGCGACAAGGCAGTAGCCGGTGTATGAGTGTGTATGTATGAGAATGTAACATATGTAAGCATCAACGTCAAACGTCCACCCAGGAGAGGATATATCATCCGAGTAGCGTCGCTGGTATAACAGGACTAGACATTCCTCCCTACCGCAACCACTATTTGGGCACCATGCTCCCAGCAGCAATGCAGTAAACAGGCCAGGATGTATCGGCGGGGAGAGGCCTCTTTTGTAGCCATTGATATTTCTGCCAAGCAGGATGCTTATCATCAACTCACCTTGATGGGGTTCGCCGGCTAGAGTGCTGTCTTGTATATTTGACCAAATTGTTTGCTAATCTCTATTCCCTATTATATAAGGTTGTTCTTAGAGTTATAAGGCTCATGGTGCATTAAATTAACAACAATATTTTTTATCAAGGGACAACCGAGGAGACCCATTAGGTGGCGGGCAGTAAACAACAGCCTCTTCATTGGCAGGAGAAGATCCACCAAGTTGGGATGGGAGTGAGTATTCATTTGAGGGCTTGTATATTTAGTGAATGGTTGTAGCCAGATTTGGACAGTCAACAATCCTGATAATTATCTTAATGAAGTGACAGTGTGTCACTTGTCATATGTTTTTGTTTTGCACAGGGGCTGTCATCTGGGTCCAGATCATCCTCCTTCTCTTCTTCCAGGATGTCACCTGCTGCCCACACAGACATTGTGGAGAATGCAGCAGGTACCAATCACCTTCAGGACGAACTGAGGCTGGACCTCAAGGCCCCTCAAGAAGATGGTTTGTTTTTAGGAGGCCAAAAGTGCACTCAATAATGTTTCTAACTCTCGCACTGTGCCTGTTGTTCCGGGCTTCAACTTGGCCTGTTGATAAAAGATTTGTGCAGAAAATATATTTAGTATTACAAAGTCACCAAAGAAACAATTTACTGTGTGTTTAAGCGTTCTTACTTGCTACAGTCTGTCGGTACAGTGTCATTATGGCAACAGGACGGCTCCATTTCTCAATAAGAAGTAACCAGCTGATGTATACAGGGCCTGCTGGTACATGAGTGATCTGCGGAAGACGAGGGCATCATGCATAAATCTGTGATTCCCATTGTACACATCAAGAAATTTACCCTTGGCAATACAGATGCCCTGCAGTATTACAGAAGGGAAAAGCTTTCTGTTAATATTACATCTCTTCTCTTGCTCTGCAGGGGGAAGAATCTTTATGTGGCACCCATCAATGGCACCGGAAGAAAAGCAGAATGCCTCATGGCCAGCAAGACGAGCAAAGAGGGCCCCACCTCCTCCATTTAATGACTGTGGAGGATGGCCATCATTTCCTCCACAGTATTATGCACAATCCTGCACACCGTGGCAGAGATTTCTGCTTTTTTACATTGTTTTATAATGGTTATATAAATTATTATATTGAACGTTTATTGAGGTTTCCAACATTTTTTTAAAAACTATTTAATAATAATTCATTTGTCCGTTAAGTATGAATTGTCTGTTATCACATGACCTGTTTGGTCAGGTACTTATTTATACATGAGAATGCTTATTTCTTTCATTGTTTGATAGGCACACCTGTCTTTCCAGAGTCAAAAAGATACTGCAGCCTACATGATTACCATTTCATATTCATGGAATATCCTGTTCTTTTGAAAACTGTCCTGGCTAATAACTAATGATGAGGTACGGCTACTTATACCATGAATGTATCGTGATAGTGTGTATCTAACTCTATAAGGCCTGTAATCCTCTTGATGACTGTTTGAACACAAACAGCAGGTATGAGGAATGTCACTAATGTGCAAATATATGTCAATATTATTAAACTATTAAGCCTCCCTTGCAATTAGTAGTTTATTTGGTAGACCTAAAGTAAATGTAGTATACTAATATTATAGCCCTAAACTAACTGCTAACATCAACAAGGTAATCACGTAAACCTGTTTTTATGTAAATCAATTTTTATCAACCATTTGGAAAGGATGTAGTAAATAGTACACGCACCTTTGAATTGCCAAGTACATTTACCGCACTAGGAAGAGCTGCTGACAAATAATAAATTAAGTTGTTTCAGAAGTCAAATAGATTTTATACAATATGGAACTACATTCATTGTTATGGAAGTGTAGAAGGTGTAGGGTTGGGTGTCATTTAATTTTAAATACATATTACAGTAAAAATAACCGCAGTACTCTGAAGACGACCAGAGATTATGATGTCAACAAGTCTGCCGCTGCTGTTCTAAATGCAGAATGACCATACTACATTCCCGGTCCATGGGAGTTATTACTGCCAAATTCAAACATCCACGTATGCCAGTCTGTACTTTGTCTCAGTGTTCCACCATGGCGCTCTCTTCTGCTCTCTTCATGCTCAGTGAGACTCCTACAGATGGTCCAGAATGTGACAGAGCGTTTGCTCTTCAATCAGCCTGAAAGGTTACATGATCTCCACAGATTCCACCGCCAGGATAAAATATCTGTCACTGAGCTCATGCTCCTTCTCCACTTTGTTCCTCTGAGGAACGTCTGATGACCATGATGATGATGGTGAAGCAGCTGTTAGCTCATGCTAACAGCATGTGTTCAGATGGTGGACTGCGTGGTGACGGAGTTGTTTGATCTTTGACTTCTCTGTGTCCAGGACAAACAGTCATGGCAGAACGAGTTGGAGATCTACAACATGAATGGGATGAGACATGAAAACCTGCTGCACTTCATTGGCGCTGAGAGGAGAGGAAGTCACATGATCACAGAGCTGTGGCTTATCACCGCCTTCCATGACAAGGTAACGCTGACCCCTTCAAGCCAGGAGGGGGCAGCACACACACACACTGACCCCCTTACTGGTGTGTAATCACCTAAATTGTAAGAACGTTTTTTTCTTTAACCTTGAATAAGCCTTTTATATTTAAATACATAATATCTACATCAGGAGCGGGTCCTCTCTACAGAACCTGCTATGTTTTTCACAGTTGCTCAAACTGGTCAAACTTAAAATCTTTTGAGTTTTTATGACAACTAACAGCTACCACAGGTTCTTGTCTTGTTTGAAGGGGAGGGTGAGGTGAGGGGTATTCAGCTGCAACATGCAACTTCACTTCTAGATGTCACTACACTGCTAAATGAAATGGTGTTTCTCACTGGCCAATGTGTAAAATTGTGTGTGTGTGTGGGATGGCACTATGTGGTGGATGGCAACAGGGCGTTGAAGAGTCTGACAGCTTGGGGGAAGAAGCTGTTGCAGAACCTTGTGGTTTTGGTTCTGATACTGCTAAATCTTCTGCCTGATGGCTGTGGGACAAACAGTGGGTGGGAGGGGACCTTAATGATGGAAGAGGATTTGCGTGTTTTGAAAATGTCCTGGATGGTGGGGAGAAAGACTCCTATGATATTCTCAGCTGTCCTCACTATGCGTTGTAGGGTCTTGCGTTCTTCTTTTCAAATCCCGAACCACACAGTGATGCAGCTGGAGTCTCTGATGAGCAGTAGGGAGTGATCATACATCGTCATCCTGAATTCAACAATCATCTCTTGTTTTCTCAACATTAGGAGATAGGTTGTTGTTATACCATCTCACCAGTTGCTCCACTTCCGCTCCAATGAGTCCAGATGGTACCTGCTCCTGGGGGGGAAGGGTGGTCTTGTTCTGAGCTTCAAACCCTGCATAGACTGGGTGGTTGTCACACTGTTGTTGACCTGTGGTGTGGTTTTGTAATCTGTTAGTGCCTGTATGCCCCTCCACATGTACCTGGTGTCCCCAGTGTCACAGAAGTGGTTTTAATCCAAGCCCATGCTGGCGTTTTGCTTTCTTGATGGCCCGAGAAAGCTCAGCCCTTGCTGACCTACAGCCACTTCATCTCCTGACTTTAAGGTGGAGTCACATGCTCTCGGATGAGCAATACAGTCTTACTGTCTGTCTGGAAGGGTCTGTAACTGTCTGTCTGTACCTTTCTAAAACTGTCTTTCTGTAACGTGTATGTCTGTGTCTGTCTGTAACTGTCTGAAACTGTCTTTGTGTCTGAAACATTGTGTCTCTAAAAGTGAGACTGTAACTGTCTGTCAGTCTGTCTGTAACAGTCTTTCTGTAACTGTCTGTCTGAAACAGTGTCTGTTACTGTCTGTAACTTTATGTCTGTAATCGCCTGTCTGTAACTGTCTGTCTGTAACAGTGAGTCTGTAACTGTCTGTAACAGTCTGTCAGTAACTGCCTGTGACTGACTGTCTGTCTGTCTAGTAATTTTACTTATTAAAGTAACAATACATTTTTTCTCAATGAATGAAAATGTTCTGATGATGTGACGTTCACCAGTCAGTCACATGACATGTTCCATGTTCTGTGTTCAGGGTTCTCTAACCGACTACCTGAAGGCAAACGTTCTCTCCTGGTCTGAGCTGTGTCTCATCGCTCAGTCCATGTCCAGAGGTCTCGCCTACCTGCACCAAGACATACCTGGACACAAGGACGGACACAAGCGGGCCATTGCACACAGGTACAAACATTTATATACGACACACAGGTACACACATTTATATACGACAC